TCCATTGTTGTTACAATTACGCTGGGAAGACTCTAACAGCACAAAGCCCCACTGACGATGACGTTTGTACCACAGGCTTTGAGAGGTCACGTAGCTTACTCATTCTTCTCCCACATGCGTAATAAGTATTTATCAACTCAAGCTCTACAAGTTGTCCTGACCATGACGGCCAGGAAGAAGCTGAGGGCACAGATATGGCAAAAGGAATCTCAACTCTACCGGGGGTAACGACCACACACCACCTCACACGTGCCCTGAGCTGGCTTTAAAAAGGCTGCCTTTTGTCCACTGTAAATTTACTCAGGAAGAGATACAATGATGCTTCCTAGAGCAGGAAGTAATTTTAAATGAGATCCACTATTCTCAAGAGTTGTAAATTGAACACACAGCTTCACCAACACTATTATGTTATTTCCTTACTACGATTATCAAGAAGCCTGATCCCTTAGTCTCCGGATACTAAATGGGCATTTTCTAATGCTAGGAACATTTCCACAAGTCCCTCTGTTCTGTAAAAGCAGAAAATGAGAAACGTTAGGTGGAGGCCAAGCCTGAGGTAGCCAGTCCTCCACTAAAATTGTCCCTCAAGGAGGACAGTTCTTTGGTGATTTGTGACAGCTCTGTCTTTGAGCTGAGTCACGCATTTGGTCTTCACCACTGATGTGCCATCCTCCCTCTGCACCTGCTCATGGTACACTTACTTACATTCTCGAGACTACTACCCATTGAAGCTGCAACCCAAGCGCACTTGATGCTGTTGACTGTCTACGCAGCAGGCATTGCCCACCTTCCCCGATGAACAGAGCTCTGGTGTTAATCAGCAACATCTGTATACCTCAGAAAAAGCTGGCTCTATCCCCAGGGGGTGGGCCTGGCTTATCTAGAGTGACTTCATTCTTACAGCACTGGGTCAGTGTATTACCCAACTGTGGTCAATGAGACATGAGAGAAACTCTTCAGTGGGGGTTCTTAGGAAAGGCTTCCTTTCTCCTACAAAATTATTAGACAAGATAGTCTCTCTTTCTCCTCTAAAATTCTGGTGTCTGGTTGTGATGGATGGAACTGCCACAGACCACTTGTTACCAGCCTGAGAAAACCAACCCCAAAGATGATATATAGGAGAGACGGAAGGAACCTAGATCTATGACTACTTGAGGCTTCAGATTCAACTGACACTGAAGTCTGCCCCACTCCGGGGTTCCTATTCCATGGGACAAGGCATTCCCTAACTGTTGAACTGGGTTTGAGGTGGGTTTCTCTTACTTCCAACTTGTATTCATTATTTGTTGCTGCAGAACAAATTGTCCCAAAATGTAGAGGCTTAAAACAACAAGCACTAGTTATTTCACAGTTTCTGTAGGTCTGGAATTTGGGAACAGCTTAGCTTGGTGCTTCTGACTCAAGGTGTCTCACAAGGATGCAATCGAGGTGTCGATCAGGGCTGTGGTCCCATCTGTAGGCTCTACTGGGGGAGAGTCTGTTTCCAGCCTCACTCAGGAGGTTGCTGACAGCATTCTGTTCTCATGGTCAGCGACGAGGGCCTCAACTCCTCACTGGCTGTGGGCTGCAGGCTCCCTCAGTTCCCTGCCACGTGGGTCTCCATAGAGCAGCTCACAATGTGGCGGCTGGTTTTCCTCAGAGTGGACAAGTGAGGACGATGCCCAAGATGAAAGCAGCAGTCCTTTTGTACCCTAATCTTGAAAGTGACAAGTGATATCCCGCTGCTTCTGTATAACCTATTCATTAGACAAGAGTCACTACATCGAGCCCAAGCAGCTTAAACTACTGAAGGAAGCACATAACAGGTGCACGTATGGAGCATGGTAAGTAAAGCACAAACACCCGAGTGCATGTGGCACTGAACACACGGACACACAGTCTTCTCTATTTTGCTTGTGCTCCAGGTAAACGTGGTTTTATTGCCATGTATTAAATACCAATAACACTTTAAGCATTAAATGGGAATGCAGCTTTTGTCCTTGGGCTCAGTTCTCAGGCAGAAGGCTGGCTGTGGAAGGCAGTGAGGCAGCAGTTGAGGGGACACCAGTAAAGCCACCAGGCCTGGGAACGGGTCAAGATCCTACAGACGTCAGGGAGGGAATAAGGGAATGGTGGGAACAGAGAGGCCCAGAGTGGGAGAGGTCAGAACAAAAGGTGGAGCTTAGAGGACCCATCTCGTGTCTCACCACCTGCTTACATTTGTGCACAAATCCATTTCCAGCTTTTTGAACCTTTTCATCTGATGAAGGTGAGCTGTGCTTACTGGATTTCAAGAAAGTGTATCTTCTGCTTTTAAACCACCTAAGTGGAATATACCACGTGTTGTACAAATCACAATGGATGTGCAAAAGCCAAAGGTGGGAGTTTGGGGTATGATGGGAGAAAGGTTGCAGGGGGACGGGGGGCACAGAGAGCCCAGGACCCCATAAAGAAGAATCCCCTGTGCTGCTTATGTTGCTAAGTTCTCCCGGCTTGGTTTCCCATGACGGCAGTGCCTACTCACAGAGCTGTGGTGTGGGCCACGCGAGATCTTCTGTGAGGTGCCTGGGGCCTGTCCAGCCCCCCCAGGTACTCAGGCCAAGCTCCCACCACAGACACAGCCTTTCTCTGACAAGGAACACAGTTTTAAAATTGAACTCAGGAGAAGATATGCAAGAGCCTGTAACTGGCAGAAAAACATCTCTACGTTTTTATGAGCTTCCACACAGCCAAAAATAGCCAGAAGTTTGATTGGAAGTGTAGGTAAGAAGCGTACGCCACAGAGACACAAATTCACACCCAGTGTTTTACGTGCCAACAGCCCGTGCCTCCCTTGAGACGGGTGAAAGCAGAATTCAGATTTCAACATGTTGTAAAAACAGGAAACAAATGAAGATAAAGGACTCATTTTTCTTAACTTTTTTAAAGTCCTGAATCAAAGAAGGTGAGTTGTCTTCTGTCTGGCTGGACAGGCAACCCTTGTTTTCAGTGCTGTGGACAATGGGCAGCCAGCTCTGCTAATGAAGTGGCATGGAAGTTCTGTCCTGATGCATGAACTTCTGGTTTCCAGCAGCCTGGGGTGGGGTCAGGAGGACGAGGAGACATCTGCAGAGCCTGTGGCCCGTGAGCTGCTGGCTGGATTCTGGAGGGACGGTGGGATGAACCCACTCTCCCATCTCAGACCTCGCAGGGATGCCTCCTCTCTAGCCTCCTGTTCTTTCTCACCCCATTACTGGCATCACTGTCGGGGTGGGAAGGAAGAGGGGAATGAAGTCCCAGGTGGCACATAGCTGGGAAAGGAGGTCAGGGAGAGAGTTGGCAGTGATATGGGAGGTGCCACGGGGCCACGGGGTAAGATGAGGGTGAGTCTGGTCTTTTGCGTGCTGTTTCGTTGTGCTCTCTTGGACCTCTTAGAATGTCTAGGGGCAGGTGGGGAGTGTGTCACAGCACTGTGGAGACGCAGGGGGCAGTGATGCTTCTCAAGCTCGAGGCAGGCCCTTGTGTGCACCCTCCTGGCTCATCTGCAGCCCCCCCGTGAAGCCGTCCTCCAAAGCAAGCACCCCAAGGCATAGGGAGATCAGGAGGAGGCCAGGGCCTGTGGGTCTGCAGGAGCCGGGTGCAGGAAAACACACGAGCCTTAGGCCTGCCATCCTGCGTAGCCGCCATGAAGTGGCTGGCCCTGTGTCCGCTCCTCGACTGTGACAGGTCGCACACAGATTCACTGTCTTCAGTCAGCTTCATTCTGCCTCACTTTCTCCCCAGGGAGGAGATTCTGTGGGTGAGGATAGCAGTCCCAGCAGTGGTCACTGAAGGCTCACATCTTGGTGTGCTGGACTTGAAACACACTCTTCAGAGATGGATTGGCTCTGGGGTCATCTATGTCCCAGCTGTCATCCTTCCAACAGATATGTCTAACCCTTAATTTTTGAATGCCCTATACAAATTCATTTGCTTTCAGAAGCACGTCGAGATGATCAAATGTATTTTAAGGATGGAAAAGACATATTTGTGAAGAAAGATATTTTGCCTAGAGAGGATGATTTTGCCTAGAGAAAGTCGACAAGTAATATGACAATTATCTTTACCCAGAAGCTGGCAGGCAGCTGGTTGTCATTTACAAAGAAGACAGAAAATGATAAAAAGGTCTGATGGCGGCTAAGTGTGAACTTCCTAACTAGAGGCTTGTGCACACACACGTGGGCACCGACGGTCATGGGGCTGCCTGTAGAGTGGCAACACGCTGTCATGGTCACCTGGCTGGGGGTGGTGCTTGCTTTTTAAGGAAGCATCGGTGCAAGGCTGGGCATGCTGAGGGGGGAGCACAGGCCTGATATGCAGATGATCCCACCTGATTACAGATGGTGAAATGTACAAAACTGTTACTGTCTGCAGGTACGATGCTATAGTTAGTGCTTATTAACGTCCAAAAGGAATCCCAGGAAACAATGAGAAATGCCCTGTCTCAGGCAGGGTGTCCTGAGAAATAGAAGCAAAATAGGACTTGAATTTTGGCTACTGCTAGACTCAAATCAAGATGTTTCCCCTCCTGGTACCTCGGTTTCCCTTTCTGTAGAGAGGCAGTACTAATGTGGGCCACTGGCCACATGGTTCAAAAGCTGACCTTTAACTCAAATCTCTCCCACTCTAGAGCACAGCACTTGTGTGCACTCTCAGCCTGCCCAAACGAGCCCACCTACAGATGTCCTGGGGTCGGTTCTGCTGTGAGGAGTGGTAGCTCCCACTGACAGTCTCCACCCACAAGATACAGCTTCAGCTGAAGTCTAACCACAGATATGAATGATTAACTGAAATCATTCTTATGGGTATCTGTGTGGCATTTAGAGTGCATTCTCTGTGACACTGGACACACTGCATCGAGCATTTAGAAAGAAAAGCTGGGAAGGAAAGGTACAGACATCAAAGGCAAGGATGGAGAATCTGGAAACCCAGCCCTGACACCAGTAATGACCAGAGAGGCGAGTGGTCAACACACGGTTGGAATGGGAACAAGAGGCACATACGTCTGGGTCTCAGGTCTGACGCTTCGGAACCAGCACCTTCCCCAGGAAAGCTGAGAGGCTCCATCACATCTGTGTCAGGAGGAGGGTAGGGCGGGGGTGGGGGAAGCACTAACTGGGGTGGGCCCCGAGCAGTGCCTCTGGGAGGCTTTTGTGGCACCTGCCGTCCTCCAACACCTACATGGAATCAATGGGGAATTACTTCAGAAGGTTAAGCCAAAAGATTCCCTGCCTTCCAACAGAGGCCACATTGCCATCGGTCACCAGGCACTCAGTTCAACCTCACTGGGCACCAAATCCAGCCACGCCAGCACCAAATCCAGCCACGCCCAGCACCAAATCCAGCCACGCCCAGCACCAGATCCAGCCACGCCCAGCACCAGATCCAGCCACGCCCAGCACCAGGTCCAGCCACGCCCAGCACCAGGTCCAGCCACGCCCAGCACCAGATCCAGCCATGCCCAGCACCAGATCCTGCCACACTCACATTTTAACATTTTACATATGTGGTGTTCTACCATTGGGCCAGTTTGGAAACAGTTTCCTGATTGCAATCTGTTTCTGGCACGCACAATTACATAAATGCTGGGCTTGAGAACTATTCTTAAAGCCCTTAAACAGCTCTGCCAAGTTAGGAGGAACTCCTTTATTCACGTTAGACTTTTTCAGGTTCATGGATTTGATTTTCAGCTTATTGCGTTGCTTTTCCATATCTATTGACCTATTATGGAGAGATTAACTGTTAGTTCAGCTTATCTTTTTCAGCTCATTTATACTTTCAACCTCTTTCATTGATTAGGGTAATAGATTTCAAAGTTTGTTTGAAGGAGGGTCCTTAGTTGTAGGAAGAATTAGGGTAAGTGTGCCCAGCCCCCCACCCCCTCAGGCAACCAGAGCAGCCTCTTTATATGTTTACAAGTAGGGAACACATTTCCAATTCTATGGAAATGGATTTCTCATGTTAATAAAATTTTTGAAAGTCAATGACTTAATCTAATAAATGGCATGAATTACTAGTGTCATAGGTCATATTTAGTATTATTTCTTTTAAAAACACTTTCAAGCTTTACAGTTTACAATATTCTAATAACTAATAGATTCGATGCTTTATTGCCTTTCACCAGATTATTAATAAAAATATTAAGAAACACCATTTCTCATCCAAAGATATATACATTTATTCCTTTCTTAGCTGTAGTTCTCCAGATAAGGAAAAATATTAATTTTCCTATATTCAAACATCATTTGCTCCCTTGAAGTGCACATAAGCTGGACTCAGTGTGGGTGGAGCTGGGATTGGGCCCAGGTGAGCGTGCTACAAGAGAAGCCCCCCAAGGGCAGGTGCACAGGGACGGCAGACTCTGCACTCCATGGCTTTCTGCTGCTCACCAACGAATTTGGGGCAGACCCAGATCCAGCTAGCTAAAGACTATTTTTGTGTAAGTTCTAAAATAAACTTTTCTTTTTACATCTAGATGTGTGAATAGATTGGGCCCAGGTGAGCGTGCTACAAGAGAAGCCCCCCAAGGGCAGGTGCACAGGGACGGCAGACTCTGTACTCCATGGCTTTCTGCTGCTCACCAACGAATTTGGGGCAGACCCAGATCCAGCTAGCTACAAGACTATTTTTGTGTAAGTTCTAAAATAAACTTTTCTTTTTACATCTAGATGTGTGAATAGCAAAAGTTACCTGAACAATTTTTGTGGATAGGGACTATTTTTTTTTTTTTCAACCTAAGCCTAAACTTTAGTTAAAATTTCTGCTGTGGTGCTGTTTGTGTACTTTTAATTCACAGGGATTTCTGATGGGGATGGAATTCTGACTTGAAATTACCACTAAGACCTTTTCCATAATCCCCTGCCCTCAAAAAATATTCAAGATTATTTTCAGCGGGAAGGGAGCTTCTGCATGCCCAGTCCTCGCGAACCACAGTTCATGGACTAGACAGAAAGACTTTGGCAAATCACTGCTATTCACGCCTCCTCCTTGTAATGTTTCTTAGTGCAAGAGTCGCTTCTAGAATTTTCTATCTCTAAACACCCACCTCCCATCTTCTCTGACATCTATGGGCACCAGCTGTCCCCCACACGCCCAGGCCAGGTTCCCCAAGCAAATAGGACATAAGCACTCAGTCCTGCAGGGCTGAATCAGGGGTGTCTCCTGGGCTGACATGGGCTGTCTGGCCTGCAGGTTGGTATGACTCAACCATATCCATACAACTGCTGAGAGTGGATGCTTCTTAGAATTTCAGCAGGGATTTCTGTCCCGTTATGTAGAGTGGGGAGAGAACTTGGAAAGCAGAACAGCGGTCTCATGATGAAATAGGAGAAAACTAGGTTTATTTTAACATCCACTCATAATGTTCACTTTAAATCGACAGAATTTCCCTCTGGGAAAGAGTATTACTGATATGAAATATAGGTTATTGCTCCTTAGGGTAATTGATTCCCAGGCTGTGAAATGCTAAGACATTTCTAGTGAGGTATTGACAGGGGGAAATGCTGACCAACAGCCAAGCAGCTCTTACTAAAGTCCTAGCCACTGACAATGCAGCCACTTGTCCTGGGAAATGATCATTATGTTCCCCCCCACCCCACACACACACCGTGTGTTACAGGGGAGGTGGACAGAGGCTTGGTGACAGAGAACTCCAGGTCTCCCTTCTGGGGCTGAAGATATTAGGTCAAAAGCAAAATTCAGGAGTGTCTGAGTGGGTTGAAGGTCAGTGTGAGGGGATGTCTGATGGCTTCAGTACGAGTTCTGATGCACTTCCAATCACAGGGTCCCAGGCCTAGGAATCCTAGGCTGCCATGTTCCAACCCCCTCTCTGCAAGAGCCATTTCTATTCCTATGTAAATGAAATAACAAACACTGAATTACTGTAAAATACCAGTAACCATCCCTGGCTCATGGACCTGGAGGTCTCTGTCACCTAGCCTCTGTCCACCTCCCCTGTGACACGAGGCATGGGGAGGGAGCTCATAATGACCTGCACGGCTCTTTCTGCTCACAGACTTTATGACTCTCTCCTCCTTCCTTTGGGGTCTCTTTTTCCCAAAGAATATCAGGGTCTTTGCTAAACATATAAAAGATATGTGAGTGGAGATCAATTTTAAACGGGATGGTCGGAACGTTACTGAACTGATGATGTCCACTCATCTATAAATCACATGGGGACTAAGCTGTCTTCCAGTGACAGATGGCTTTCCCAACAGCCTCCATGATGTCACCTGAAGAACTTTGCTTTTGCCCATCTGAGAGGCACACATCACGCACTCACACTCACTTGCTCTCCGTTCTGCACGCTTTCCACCAGCCCCACCCTCCAGATGCCCACACGACGCCCATGTGAGACTGCTGGTGAGATGTAAAGGGAACTCGCAAGGCTTAGTTCCAGACTGCCTCTCTTCAGCATGCACAGTTCCTGGGTTAATGCCATGATGGATGAGGCCACTGCAAGAGTTAGTAGCAGTGCTAACATGCCACACAGTGACAAGAGTTCTGGTGCCTGTGGCCCAAATGATCACTCACCCACTGTGCTCCTCCTGTTCTCCTCCTTGTCCTCCGTGCGGTTGGGGACCAGGGGACTTGGCGGTGGTGGCTGAGGGGGAGGGGGAGCTGGCGCCCGCCGCTTCTTCTTCTGTAAGTCGATCTGTGACCCCAGAGACAGCTGTGAAGTGCAGAGAAAGAAAGGCCGTGTTAGGGTGGTTCTGGTGGGGGTGGGGTGCATTTGGGACACATGGGGTACAGCAGCTGGCTCCATGGGACACAGTGCCAGGAAGAGAGTGGTCAGGTTGCCAGTTCCCTTCTGGGTCCTCGGAGCCAGGGATGTGAGGGTCTGGTATATCTCCTAGCTCTGGCCCTGCGATGCACAATGATGCTCACAGATGCCCCCATGTCCCCTAAGAGAGCAGGGAACACCTGTGAAAATATGGGACTACAGATGAGTCTGGAGACTTGGCAAACTTCTCCACAGCATAAGGGATTAAATGCAAAAGAGAACTCTTCCTTCTGGAACAGGAGGGGTCGCCACGGTTTGTGCCCACACAGAGGAAGAAGAGACGGGAGCAGCTTGGACCTCACCCTGGTCCTGACTTGGATCTGTTCCCTGCCTCTGCACGGTCACCTTCCAGAGCAGCCAGGACAAACTAACCATCCACAAGCTGACCACCCAGATCTAGAACCGCAATGACGTCCCTCACTCACACTATTCCTCTCCATCATCCCCCAAACAGCACAAGATTTAGTGTAATTAATATTCACTATTGAGTCATCTATACAGAGATATAATAGGTATCATAATGATGATAAGAAATTTTCTTCAGCAGGAATTTTCTCCTGCTGAGATGTGTAATGTGGATGATGATTACACTTTGTTTCTGGATTGCCTTTTTGTTTTCCTGAACTCAGTAACTGATTTGTTTTCTAACTTTTTTTCCTAACTGGATTTCCTGGAAATTCCCTTTTCCTCTACTCAGTCCTGATCCCTTGTTTCTTGGATCCACTGCCTTTTAAAAAACTTTTAATTCACTGCTTCCTTTTAGTGGTGCTCAGTCTCCAGCAGCTTTCGGAGACAAGATGCACATGAGGAAGATTTCCGAGACCTTGGAAATCTACAAACGTTTTTATTCTGAGACTCTGAGCAGTCCGTATAGATGCCTGTAGAACCAGGAAAGGAAACGGCCCTTTCTGAACATGTCGAGCTGTCGCTCCACTGTCACCCGTGTCATCCATGCAGTGGGACGCCCAGCACCACGCTGACACTCCATCCTCTACCTGTGACCCATTTCCCCCGCAGGCTTGGAGGAGCCTCTCCTGCTCCCTGGTGCCCCGAAATCTCTCGATGGCCTGCCCTGGGTGGGGCATTTTCATCCACTGTCTGGGGCATCCGCTAATGCCTGCAATCTTTGTATTCCTTTTGAAGACTTTTCTAGTGTTACTGCTTTCAGCTTTTTCTTCCCTCTGTTTTTTTTCTTTTTTTCTCTATCTGGGATTACAATTAGTTAAACATTGAGGATTCTAAATCAATTATCTATTTTTTCTTGAATATTCTCGCCTAACTTTTTTTCTCTGAGTTTTTTCTCCTCTTTCTTGGAAATTTCCAATACTTCATTGTCTGTCTCAAGAATTTTTATTTTTTTATTTTTTTTAACTTGATTTGATTTTAATTTTTATTTATCAATATAGAATATGGTTGATTTTCGAGTCCTTTACCAACTCATGGATTTTTATTTTTTTATTTTTTATTTTATTTTTTAAAAATTTTAATTTACCAATATACAATGTTGTTGATTTTTGTGTCCATACCAACTCATGAATTGTTAAGTTTGTTACTGTACCTTTAATTTCCAAGGGCTCTTTCTTGTTATGTATTTTTAAAACAGCATCATGGTCTCGTTTCCTGGATACAATAACTTCTCTTTTCTCTCTGAAGCTATTATTTGCATATTTTTAAAAAAGTTTTCATTTTCATTTTTTTTCAGTTTTATGCATTGTATTTTCATCCAAGCTCCCTCCCTCCCTCTCCCTCTCTCTCTCTCTCTCTCTCTCTCTCTCTATCTATCTATCTCTCAGCTTCTGTTTTTGAGCTTTGTTCAAATTTCTGGTGATCCTTGGCTGACTGTTTATGTGTGTTTCTGTGCATATGGTCTATTCGCACATTAATGGGATTCCATGTAGGTGTCTGGGCAGAAATCTGGTTAGCTCATGGTGCCATCCTCAAATATCCGTGCCTGCGGGATTCTCTCCCAGGTTGGCCGTCTTCCACCCAGGTGAACACTCCAGTCACCTGCCTGAGGGTGGGAGCTGGTCATTCAGTGCAGAGTCCAGTGAGAAGGCCTGAGGATCTCGTGCAGCATGTGGATTTTCAGTACAGACTCAGTTGTGCCTAACATCCTCGAGTCACAGTCTCTGGGTTCTGTCACTTCGGGGGTTACAAGTACCCACGTCTGGTGGTGCAAGCTGGGAGGGGATCTAGCGGTCTCACCACTTCACACACACACGTTCAGCCAGTCCTTTGTCATCGGCTCATTCTGCATGCTGGTGTGCAGATGAATGCATGTCCCAAACTCCCGAGCCTCCTGGAGTTCTGGTATCTCCTGCTGGGCCCCTCTTACCCAGCAGTCAGGCTCCCGCCACTTCAGCTTTGCTGTGCTTACCACCATCAAACCATGCTCTAGCTCCAGCAGGGTCTACTGGCAACGGTACTGCTGCTTCTCCTCCTCCTTGTGAGGGTGGCCTAATGCTTGTTATTCATTTTAGTGGGTTTTGGAAGGACAGATATAAACTAATTTGTTTTATTAGCCATGTCTTCCCATATTTTTTTCAGCTTTATTGAGGTATAATTAACATGTAAACAATTGTATAAATTTAACGTATACAACTTCAGGATATGATACACGTATACACTGAGAAATAATCACAATAAAGCTAATTAACATACCCATCACTTCTCATAGTTACCATTTTCTTTTTCCTTTATCTTTTCTTTTTTGTGTGTGTGTGTGTTGAGAATACTTAAGATCTAACCTCTTAGCAAACTTCAAGAATTTTTTAAATAGCTGCCTATTACTCCAATGGATTGATGAGCCATAATTAACTAAATTAACCCCTTTTGCCTTTAGCTGAATATCAACATTGTTGGTTTTGGCTGTTACAAATAAACTTCTTAGAACATTCTTTCAATTTTACTTTTTCCCAAATTTATTTATTTATTCCTATTTTTTTTTTTTAGTTTTCAATAAATGCATTTACTATAACTTCTCAGGTAAAGTGCATGAAAAATTCAGAGTTAAAGGGAAGACATTAGATTCTGAAACTGCTATCCTGGTTTTTAAACTTCTTGTCATGGAGGAGGGAAGTCAGCAAGATGGCAGAATAGTAACCCCCTGCTGGGCCCCTCTTACCCAGCAGTCAGGCTCCCGCCACTTCAGCTTTGCTGTGCTTACCACCATCAAACCATGCTCTAGCTCCAGCAGGGTCTACTGGCAACGGTACTGCTGCTTCTCCTCCTCCTTGTGAGGGTGGCCTAATGCTTGTTATTCATTTTAGTGGGTTTTGGAAGGACAGATATAAACTAATTTGTTTTATTAGCCATGTCTTCCCATATTTTTTTCAGCTTTATTGAGGTACAATTAACATGTAAACAATTGTATAAATTTAACGTATACAACTTCAGGATATGATACACGTATACACTGAGAAATAATCACAATAAAGCCAATTAACATACCCATCACTTCTCATAGTTACCATTTTCTTTTTCCTTTATCTTTTCTTTTTTGTGTGTGTGTGTGTTGAGAATACTTAAGATCTAACCTCTTAGCAAACTTCAAGAATTTTTAAAATAGCTGCCTATTACTCCAATGGATTGATGAGCCATAATTAACTAAATTAACCCCTTTTGCCTTTAGCTGAATATCAACATTGTTGGTTTTGGCTGTTACAAATAAACTTCTTAGAACATTCTTTCAATTTTACTTTTTCCCAAATTTATTTATTTATTCCTATTTTTTTTTTTTAGTTTTCAATAAATACATTTACTATAACTTCTCAGGTAAAGTGCATGAAAAATTCAGAGTTAAAGGGAAGACATTAGATTCTGAAACTGCTATCCTGGTTTTTAAACTTCTTGTCATGGAGGAGGGAAGTCAGCAAGATGGCAGAATAGTAACCCCAGACTTCATTCCCTCTTCCCCCACAGAGACAACAACTTAACAATTACCTGACAAAGCATTCAAAATGATTGTCTTAGAGAAGCTCAACAGCTAGAAGAGAACAATTTTAGAAGTCTAGAAACCAATTAAGAAGTCTCAGCACCCAGGCAAGCTCAAAGCCAACAACAGCCACACTGAAATAGGTAAGAAAAGCAATTTCACGTCAACTGTGACAGCCCTTCCCTCAAGCTGGCATAGCTCTGTGTAATCAGGAGAAAGTGCCCAACTCACAGCTTCTCTCTTAGGAGGGAAAGAGAAGAATGGAACACATGCCAACATTCCAGCTTTTCAGGGAGGCTTCCTGAGGGAATGGTTCCTGCCTTGAGTGACCTGGAACACTCCTGGGGAACTGGCATGTTTTGTACACATGAGGCCACAGAGAGAAAAAGAGCCCAGAGCTGGCTGTAGCACCAGAGATCTGGCAATGCCACTGACAGAGGCCAGCACAGCTTGGCACAATAAGAAAGCACCCAGCTCACAGCTCATCCCTCAGGAAGGAATGGAAAGTGCATACAGTGTTCTGGATTTGGGGAAAGCCTTCCCTGAGGAACTGGTTTTTGTTTCTCCTGACTAGTAATACAGAGGGAACTGACATATTTTGAATGCCTGCAGGCTGTGGAGAATGAAAGGGGGCTCAGAGGCAGGCTGCAGTATTGCAGACAGACACAAGAGGGAGGAAGAGATTATAACCTCCCCAAAAAAGAACTGGAAAAATCTCTCAAATTGGGAATTACACACACAAACCCAGAGAAGATGCATCTNAGGAATGGAAAGTGCATACAGTGTTCTGGATTTGGGGAAAGCCTTCCCTGAGGGACTGGTTTTTGTTTCTCCTGACTAGTAATACAGAGGGAACTGACATATTTTGAATGCCTGCAGGCTGTGGAGAATGAAAGGGGGCTCAGAGGCAGGCTGTAGTATTGCAGACAGACACAAGAGGGAGGAAGAGATTATA